AGCATCTATCTCCCTTTCCTTTGTAATTTTTTGCTTCCGAACGAAAGGAGCGAAACAAAGCTGCGCTCGCACTCTGAAAAGCCTCTCGCGGTTTTTCCCGCCCGCTTTTCTTTTACGACGTCAGAGCGGTCGATGAGGACCTTTCACATGGAATGAGATTTCTTCGACGTAGAAAAAGTGGCGAATTTAGGCGACAATATATATCAGTAATATATTACATCTTCTCTCACTTGACCTCATATCGACTCGCTGACTTTCCTTTTATGCTTATTACTATCGAGAATAATTGCATCATTTATATCGGCAGCAAAAATTACGGAACGTTCCCGACAAACAACTGCGAAAACTAAAAATGTTGAGATAGGGTATATTTTCTTTATATAAATGTATATGTGCGGATAGATACTAAAAGTATCTCTTTCTCACGATATCGCGAGCAAAATTAACGAAGCAGAGACTCAATTTTAGCTATATAATTATAATAAAATCATCAAATTTTGAAATACATCAATTTACATATCATTTAATTTTAGAGAAGTGCCGAATCTTACAAAAATAGTTATCATTTTGCTTCTATTCTCGGTTAAGCTTTATTTAAAAAAATCGCTGTCTGTTTAAAACGTGAGAAGCGTAAACCGGAGGGTCCGGCGATACATCAAGTAAATTACGTAAATTAATGTTCTCTCAGGTTGTCAGCGACATCCATTTATACGTGTAAATAATTAATGCTAAAAACTTTCGGGACAAGTGGCCCATTAATGAAAAATCTGATATTTAAAGCAATCCCCGCCGGGGCTTCGTTACAAAAGCCGTGTAATTCGTCGTACAATTCGTCTCCATTACACGGTATGTATTCGCAGTCAACCAACGGCGAAGGACGAAAAAAGATTACGTGTGTTATATCGTGTGCGTCCGCAGCTACAGATAAAGTCGGCGCGTGCAAATGACCGTACACGTGATACGCGCGTCCGCACGCGCTGCGTGACACGAAGCCACAATTTACCAACCGCATTTCCACCGTTCTCGTGCGCCATATCGCCGCTATACACACAAATTTCTACGAACTGAAATCGTGGAAGATATATAACGTAAGCTCAGTTTTTCGCCGAATTAAATGTCGGCTTTATGCATAATGCATATCGCGATATTTTTAATGTAACATTTCTGCCTCACTGAACGCCAATGAAATTTTCCGTCATCGATCGCGCGCCGCTATTCGATATTCGTACTCAAAATAGAAGTGAACCTTGACATAAGAAACCGAATTTGGAAATAATAGTTGACGGGGGGAGCCAGTGTTCTCAATACAATATCTTCTCCATTACATTTCCTACCTAAAGTTAGAAGAATGGGAAAAGTAAAGGGAGAACTTATATGGAAGTCGAGCCTCCATGAAAGGGCCGTATAAAACTTAAATATAATATAACGATATCAGATACGATAAGAGGGATCGGATACGAAAAATGTTTGAGCGACGTTACAATGGGGAAAAAGTCGATATTCTGGCTCTCAGGAGCGGGTTTGGGATTTGTGCGAATTTTTGCATCGCGGTGGGCTCCGCATGTAGAGCTCTCTCGCATGACATTCGAGTCATCTGGGAACACCTAATCTCTGACTAGAGTTGACTGGCAGGCACAACGCCTCGTACAACATTAGGAACACGAGCGTCGTAACACACGTCCACGTCAATTGGCGTAGCTCTCGTCGTTAAGGGATTTAACTTCGCGCGCACGTTTTCCCCGAACGCTTTTAACCCATTATATCCGGCGCGGTTGGAGTTCCTTTTGTCACAAGCCAGCGGGCGACTTGTGGCCAAGTCAAAAGATACAGAGGGTTTCGCCGACGTTTATGCACCGACGCGTGTGATAATTCGTCTTTCAGTTGCGGCGAGGTCGTAGGAAGCATAAACGATGTTTCACGCATTTCTCCTATTTTCGTAAGCAGAAGATATGTATACAGCTTGCACAATAGTAAACGAGAAACTCCACTTCTATACGTTACACGTAATTGCAAACCCTTTGATTTGAACTTAAAGGGTTTTGCAACTATGTAATGAAATTGTCTAAATACTGAAATATTCTCGGGTTTAACAAAGACTAACATTAGTTTAACAAAGGATAATTTTAATAGACCAAAAGAAAAGCAAACATTTTTGAATCTAGATAATGTATGACACATTCTATATTAATATAATTAAAGATATTTTGTTAAAATTTTGGCCAAAATATTTTAAGAACATCTGGATATATCTATAAGGTACTGCAAATATAATGGCGTTCACGATGTAACTTAGACTGTAGAACAATAAACCCTGCGGATAGGTTCTAAATCCGTGCCTCTTGGCGAATTAAACCAGGAATCTAAATCGGTCAGCCGACCGCAGAGAACACCCGGTGCTGCATGGATCGCTGAATAATTTCATGTCAGTCGTTCTAGTCTGGAAATGAGTGACCTTTCTCGAAAATTATGAGAGAATTGTGTGAAACTTTGTTATGCACGGCAACCGTGGCTTCTATCTCCCGAGTGTGCATCAAAACGGGATGTTATTCCTACTTGCAGCACGCTTTTATCATCGCGCTCGCTGCGTGGCAAATTTGGTCACGAGTTACACAAATTTCCAATACGAGATCGGCTGAGGTCGATTTCCTTTCAAATAAAGAAGATATACCCAAACCTTCAAAGTATTAAGTTCGTATTAAGCCTGCAGCCTGGCAAGTGTATATCGACCGGATATGCAAATTGCCACCCCTATGCGCGAAGTATAAAATTTCAAAGTAACAAGGCAAATAAATATTTTCTTCGACTTTGGACGGTCGCGAAAACTAGGTAAAACGATCAAAGACGGTGTTTACCAAGATGCCAAGTAACCCTGCGAAATAAGATGAAGTGTCAAAGTTCGCGCCTCGTTTCCATTCCTCTAGCAAACGCGTTAGTTGGCGAGAAACGCGCAACCAGGGCGCCGATGCGTACTTCAATGACGATTACAAAAGCGGGGAAATCGGCTAACGTTAAGGTGATTATTGCGAGTGTTTGTTAAGTCCACTTAAAACATTAACATTAACACGAAAGGAAACTTTTGATGTAGCAATTGCCGTTTAAAGAGATAATATTAGACTATGGCGCGAGACCGCGAGAGACAAGGAAGGCTTACATAACGCTTATGTATATAGTAAAACTCAATTATTCTTGTTACCGATTATTTTCAAAACATCTTCACGCCACATTTTATTTAAAGAAAATAGAAATCATGTGTGAGAAAGCTTTTCTACGGCTTTGGTAAGCGGAGATTAAGTTATCTTTCCCTCTTGCGGTGTAATTGTATAATTATATTATCACAAGCGTACGATAATCATAACATATTTGCCGCATTATCGAATGTTGCAACAACTCTCCGGAATTATAACGATATTGTCGAGTTAGATATACAGCGAATTCATGAGAGAATTCCTCTCCCGGTGCAAGTTAATAATGTTGCGGGAGTTCTGACAGCGACGTAATCCACGAACTATAAATTGTGCTGCGAGCTATGAGAAGTGGTTACATTTTTCCGACAGGGAATAAACATCATTAAAGTTAATCTAGAGCATGGTTATCGGAAAATTCGACAACGGGCTCTCTTATAATTTTCACTTTGCACTTTGCGCACATGTCGTCGCGTTTCGATGCTAAAACCCTAAAATTATCACACGTCAAAATGAAATATTTGGCGCGATTCCGAAATAGGTCGCCAGATTTCGCAACTAGAACTGATTATCAATTAAAGAAAATATTACATTTTTCTCATTTCAGCTGCGAGATCCGCCTTTTCGCGTGTCTGTTACAAAAAAGCACTCGGTTTTTCCTGTTTCAAATATCAAGATCTACTGTCCTACCTTGTATAGAAAGGCACTCAGTATTTCTTCTTTCAGATATAAGACCTTTCTCATAGTATTTTATGCAAGAAACTGCTTAGTGTTTTTCAGTTCAGTTATCAAACGTTTCATTCTCGTATTTTCTATGGCAGCGTACTATCTATTTCTCAGGTCAGTTGTCCAATTATTTTCCTTTTCCAATAGTCTATTTGAGAGAATATTTTATATTTGTGAAACAACTCACTATCTCTTCTCCTTTTATATTAAAAAAAGAAAATACTTTTTAATTAAAAAAACATTCTATTTTACAACTTGTAATTTTGCAATCTACACACACACGCGCACATAATTTCATTATTTTTCTAAATAATTATATCTAGATAAAAAAAATCACGTGGTTAAAAAAAACGCAGAAAATATTTTGTACTTATTAAACTTAAGATATAATAAAACAAAGTATTCCTGTAGTTAGTATGTATTATATCATTCTCGGATTTCGTTTTCAGGATATTTCAAAATCAGTCTCCTTTAAAATTTATTATCTGGCCCTTGATATTTGAATGAGAGCTACAGCAGGCGTTAAGAATTGCGTTATTTCTTTACCATAAAACCGATTAGATGTATACGGAAAAAATAGTAAAAATTGAGAGAATATAATAAATTTATATAAATATGAATTTTTATAAACACAAATTCTGGGAATTTGATATCAATTTCTTCCTTTAAACGTCCTTCTCTCTTCTTTCCTCTCTCTCTCTCTCTCTCTCTCTCTCTCTCTCTCTCTCTCTCTCTCTCTCTCTCTTTCTTTTCCGCTTCAGACACAAGTAAATCTATTACACAAAGCTATTAAGTTAATGTTGCGGACATATCATTCCACAGTACATTTGCAAGTTAATTGAAGAGATGCTTAACGGAATTTATTTAAATACGCTTGTCTGACGTCATTTCCGCATGCACACATATGGCAATTTCATATCAATATGACCAAAAGAATGAGGAACATATTGATGCATTGTGAAATTATTAATTATTCTCGTTATATATAGAATGGAGTTGACAGTAGAATACATCTACGCAAGTGGCAAAACAGGCGCGTAGCAGACAAGCAGACAAGCAGATCGTTAGTCAGCGGCGCGGTATAAATATCGTTAGTGCACTGCGATGCAAGCATTAACAGTGCAAGCATTGGCAAGATAGCAAGATGAAAATAACAGTGGTCTTCATGGTCTTGGCGGTGGTGTGCGCCACGGCCCAGCAATCCGTAAGTCTTAATTCGTACATGATCGCTTATTGATAAATTTCTAGAGAATAATGACGTTCTATTCTACGCAAAGGGATCAAATGGCGTGTTACCATCAGGCATCCCCATTCCACTTAATAATCAGCCAAAGAATCTATTGAAATCCATGATGAATCCATTTGGAACATATTGGAATCCATGGGGAATCCCAACGGGATACCCACTTCCTTGGTTCCAGTCCCTACAACAACCTACAACAACCCCTGGAAGTATCCCACCAACATCCGGAAGTGCAGATATAAATGCACCAAGTGCACCAAGTGCACAAAGTCCATTTGGAATAATCCGCTCTATTGGACAACGCTCTTCCCTTTGGAAGCCTTGGTTCCAGTCCCTACAACAACCTGGGTTAACCCCTGGAAGTATCCCACCAACATCCGGAAGTGCAGATATAAGTGCACCAAGTGCACCAAGTGCACCAAATGCACCAAATGCACCAAATGCCTAGCCAACAAATGCAAATGACCAGATCTCAGGAATCCCAACAGTTCCACCACAATTTGCACCACAAGGATAAGAAATGCAAAAACTACCAAGGAAGGAAACAATGACGAAATATTAAGATTTCATGGAAAAAGTAATATAATTATTTTTGCACTTAATAAAATAAATTATCACTGAGAGTAATATCTAAATTAAATATAGCAACAAAAATGTATCGAATGCTTAAATATGAATAAATATAATTTCCCAAACTTTTTGAAAAAAAATTAATTGCGAATATCCGATACAATATTTAGTAATTAGAACAGTAAGCGGTTTAATGAAGATATATTTTTATAAGAGCTTCCTCGTGATGTGCGTAATACTAAAAAACTAATGTAAAAGAAAATTGCAAAATTTTAGACCCTGCAAAGAAGTAGTTCAAACTCATTGTCAGTCTAATAATCGTTTTGTGGAAAAAAAGACATGCTTAATAGCGTAATGTCAAAAATTTCCAGATATGTGTTGTGGATCTTGCCCCTTATTTACCGTAAAGAAAAAAAGTACTAAACAAAATCGAAAAATCCATTGATTCTTTTTGTATATTTGTAAATTCTAAGTGCAACAAGACCTTGTCCTCATTCGAAGGAACAAAGCGAAGGACTATGGAAATCGTCTTTTCGCAGTGAAGAGACCTTCAGGCCCTATACGCACAGCTGTATCCCATTTTCCTAGAATATTGGATTTCCTGGATTCACAGCGTACGGAAGACAGGCCATGGTCACACTCACTCAGACATTCCGCAATTATCCAGATCCGTGTCGGCGCGGATAGACGGGACAAAACCAGCAACCTGCGACCACAATCGCGTCCTAAATTCTCCCGGTACGGCTTGATTAATCCAATACCTGTCGGTGCTTATTTCTAGCGATTTCGCAATTAGCGTCGAATTGCTACAACGATTCTCGCCTCACCGACTAGTCGCCACTTTGTTACCGCATCCCTTTCTTCCTATCACCTACAATCTACAAAGCGTGTCCCCTAAGAAAGAGTTAAGACTTTGTTATTTTAAAGGCTATTTCATTTAACGTGATGCAACAATTGCCGCACAAAGCAACTGCTATGCTCGAAACGATTGCGTGAACATAAAGACTAAATTCACAGAAGATCAAAACGAGAGCCACATTGTGCTGATAATTGTTTCGTAAACATTTTGAAAATTTTCAATGTTTTATAAAAAGAATCAACAACACAAATTTGGGAATATTTATTGACACGACAAAACTTTTCGACATCAAAATGATATGGTGATCCTAATTTATCGCAATTTGTCAGTAACGTTTTACTTAGCCAGCCTATTCACTTTTTTTATAACACGTGCGGGAAAAGAAGAAAAGTCACGAAACTTCCAATAGTAATAATTAAGAGAACAGCATCACATGTCGAAGCCACAGATATTTCATTAACGTTATTAAATGATCCGTCGCAAAGTTCTCGACAGTGTCTCTTAGCGGAAGAGCACTTTGAGAGGGCTAGCAGAATTTCATTAATCAACCACGCCGATAATGGCGGTGACGTGTCAAACAATGGTCAGCTTGACATTGGCCACGCCCCGATCAGAATCTCGTAATTACTCCTCGCTCTCCTAATTAACCTAGATTAAAAGTACATCAATGTGATCGATTAACAAGTGAATAAGCAATGAAGGTATCAAAGTTACACTTTTTCTCCGAAAAAAATTTTTCCTCGAAACTACTTCTTATAAATTAACGACATACGTTACTCCGCGCTTTTTTAAATTGCCGCTCAAACTACCACAGTTCAAAAGCTCTACATAATTAATTCCATAACTTGACTTTCAAAGTCAATAGTAGTCTCTACAAAATTTATAAAAAGCGTCCAGTGACTAATGCAAATATTTAGAGATTATATTATGTGTGTGCGTATTTATTTTATATTATTTTTTTATCAACAAAAATTTATCGAATTAAAAATATTTCAAGATAACGTGATGACTGAATATTTAATCCGTGCATAATTCAATTATAGGACTAAATCTGCACATTATTTTTTCCGCATCGCAATGAAAGAATTTGAATTCGCATTAAATATGAATTAAGTAGAATGATTAATAGCGACATTACGACGTGGTACCGTAAAGGGACGTGCTAAATCAGTTAGAAAGACCGATGTTCGGATTCGAGCTGGCGTAGCACGTTCGCGTTCCTGGATCAAATCCAAAAATAAGTTTGCATGGCCGGCTGCGGGAAATTTTATAACGTCATTTATTTACCAAACATTGAGCGCCAAACGGAATCATCAATCAACTTTCGTATCGCGGTCACGTACTGTACCATCATGCTTACATGATTTCCAGTAAACAAACTCATTTTCGTTATGTAAAACGCGGCATAACTCTCGTGGTTTCATCAACCCGAGACACGAACGAGGTGTGACGTAATCGCAAACTGACCGGGTAGTCAACGACCTCACGACCTGTGCGTTTATTAGTTCGTCTGGACATGAACCTTGAGCCGATTTGTCACCCCGCATTATCACCCGGCTCGTTCACGGTCTGCTTTGTATACCGAATTCAATTCATGTAACCGTCGAGTGATTAACCCTTTAACCGATTGTGATTGCTAAGTCGATCGCCGGATTTACGAGAGATTCGGCAAGAATACTCAATTTCCCAGACAAAGAGTATAGTCGTTGAAAATTCAACGCCTGCTTTCAATAGGAAGTAAAACGGACGCTTCAAAAAAAAAAAGATAATACTTTCGTTTTTCTACTTTTTGATGAAAGAGTAAATTGTTTTGCTCAAGATTTAGGCTAATATTATTATGGAACAACATTTTATTATGGAACGAAACGTTAATGCTCAGAGAGCTTGCGAAAAGTACGATGAAAGCTTGGAAACGGTCTGTACGAACGGCAGCGTGACAAACGACAAGAACAAGTGTCACGAGCGACGAGTGATATACGTACGCGCGTATCATAAAAGCGTGCCATTTGTTCATTGTAAAGGCGTTGCAAATTGCTTCTCCATCTGCGACTGAGCAAGCATGTTTCTCTCACTCTCTCTCTTTCTTTATCTACATCCACATACATCACTTACGCGCATCATATCAACGTGCCTTTCAAACGCAACGAATTAGCTTACTCTAAGAGGATTTGCTGCCTCGCGCTTACGCATTGAGCCTAACTCGCTACGTATGAGCTAAAGTAGAAATTGCTCGGTCTGACAAGATGGAAGGAGAATATCTATGATGTGAGAATAAATAATTCCACATAATTCTGTGAAATTAGAGACAAACCAAAAAATTGTGTTGAAGAAAAATTAATAAGATACGATTCGACACAATCAGTTCTCGTATAATAAACTAATTTCTTGAAGATTACTATCGATAAAATAATCAGCATTAATGGCAGTTTTTTCTTAATTAAGCAGTACCTTTCGTAAAAAAGAATATCCGACAACAAGTAATTACAAGTTTTTCTTTTTTAACTTTCAGAGAAATTACTTCTTGCTATTTGTGAACGTGTAAAGTGTCAACACGTAATGCATTTTTAAGTGGGAAAATGAAATCTATGAGCACGTTAAAACTGATGTCGGATTCACGGGAACATTAAACGTCTGTAATGATACCGCAGTTACCAGCCTACCTGTTGAAGCAACCAAGTGGAAACGATCGAACGGCAGGTTGTACCCTGCGGCACTATATGATCACTCGTAGCGAGTTATGAGCAAAAATTTGTGAGACTGTCGAAATACCGGACCCATTTTTACAAACAAAAGTAAAAGCATTTTTTAAGCAAATTGGAATTAACGCAAAGCATTAATTCAATACTTAATTACAAAATTAATGTTTAATTAGAGTCAGCAATAACGAAATGGTATCAATATTTGTATAAATAATTAATATATGCGAAATAAAAGCCAAATTAAAGAATTAAAGTTACAACTTTCAGGAGAACAATCAGAATAGAAGTCAAAAGTTTTTACGCTGTGAAATACGCTATATTTTTCACGATCAATGATCTCCGCACAGATCTCTTTTGTAGAATATGATATTCGCGTTGGGATTCGCGTGATCCACCTCCTATTCCCTTACTCGTCTTCTCAGATGTACACCCGGACATTTTTCTCACAGCAATCACATTGACGTATGTACCTCACCTGGCCGCTCTCGCGTATTTTGTTCACTTGCAATATTATACTTCCGTGACATTTTCAGATCCGCCATCGGTTTCTGCCGGAGTACCGAATATAATCGAAAATTGAAAGGTCGAGAATGACGCACACAATACTTGTGCCATAATAATTAAAAAATAATTTAATAATTAAAATATAGCAAACGTTCTCTCAATTTCTTCAATATTTTATTAGGTATTCATTCTGTATTCTGTATTCTAATTCTGTATTCACATTTTATATTCCTTATCATACATAATTTCGTAATTTAACATTTCTCGTAATTTACAATTATTGTAAGTAAACATGTTTATAATACGGTAAAACTAAATATCAGTTTAAAATATAAGAAAAATCCGATTAAATATAATTTTTAACCCGATTAATTTAATTATTATATATTATCAAACTTCTTTTTAATTCAATTTTGAAACAAGATGAAACATCCAGAGACAATTTTATCTAAATCTGCACATATGTGAGAAGCTTTTCAATTTTCCTATGTAACTTAGAAAGTGGAGCACGAGCTTTGCTTCTACACCCTCTCAATTACTCTTGCTAGGTTGCTTTTCCTACGCGAGAAGAATATCTGATTCCCCCTGTGCGACAACGCCCGTCCGCGCCCATTATATTGTCGCTTCGCTGATACGAGACGCCAAATTATTAGCAGGGGGTAACGATCGATAACGATTCCAAGTATCGTCACGACGTCCTTCGGCGTACTCGGCTAAATTTCAACGGATCGGACAAATTAAAAGGGCGAGATCGGGTATATATCGCGTGCAATGTGCGGGTGTGATGGGTAGGAAACTCATAGTCCGGCGATCCCTCGATTTCTCACGCGCGTAACCCTTGGTCGCCGCGGATTCTCGCGCGCTCGACCGCGAGCACTCGACCCATTGATTTTGAGACGAGGAGACGCGTCGGAGGAGGAGAGAGAGGAGGAGGCCGAGAAGAGCGGTGGAGGATCGGGCGGAGGGTGAACGAGGACGAAGACGGAGAGCGCGGGGG